TGTATATATATATATATATATATAATTAGAATAGGGAGTGCTAGAGTTAGAGGGTAAAAAAAAGATGGAAGAGATGTATTCTTAGCCGATTCTTGAAGATGGCTAAGGACTCAACTGCTCAGACTGAGTTGGGCAGGTCATTCCACCAGGAGGGAACATTTCATTTAAAAGTCAGAGAAAGTGATTTTGTGCGTTGTTTACGTTCGACGGAGACAGCGTGCGCATGAACGTAATCTGCGTAATCAGCGTTGTTTACACTTAGAGGAAAGCGTGCGTATGCATTTTGATACTCTCTAAAATGGCGGAAGACGTAACTCGGGGGGGAGAAGAATTGTTGAAAAAATATATATTTTTGTTTTCTTTGTGCTCAAAAAGTATTCTCGTAGCTTCGCAAAACTGAAGTTGAGCCACTGATGTCACATGGACTGTTTTACAGATGTCCTTACTGCGTTTCTGGACCTGGAAACATTGCAGTTGCGTTGCTGTCTATGCAGGGTCTGAGAGCTCTCACATTTCATCAAAAATATCTTAATTTGTGTTCCGAAGATGAACAAAGATCTTACGGGTTTTGGAACGAATGAGGGTGAGTAATTAATGACAGAATTTTTATTTTGGGGTGAACTATCCCTTTAATGCCTTGAATTTTATGCAAGCAGCTATTGGTAGCCAGTGCAAATTGATGAACAGAGGTGTGATGTGCGTTCTTTTCGGCTTGTTAAAAATTAATCTTGCTGCCGCGTTCTGGATTGTAAAGGTTTGATAGAACTGGTTTGAAGACCTGCCAAGAGAGCATTGCAATAGTCTAGCCTGGACAGAACAAGAGCTTGAACAAGAAGTTGTGAAGCATGTTCTGAAAGAAAGGGCCCGATCTTCTTGATGTTGAATAAAGCAAATCTGCAGGACCGGACAGTTTTAGCAATGGAGTCTGAGAAAGTCAGCTGATCATCAATCATAACTCCGAGGTTTCTGGCTGTTTTTGAAGGAGTTATGGTTGATGTGCCTAACTGGATGGTGAAATTGTGACGAAACGATGGGTTTGATGGAACCACAAGCAGCAATTAAAGCAATATTTATCTGTACAGAAATAATTAAATTTTTATTTTATATAAAACAAAAAGTATTTCTGTATAAAATTATTTTATTTTATATAAAATAATACATTATAAATACAATAAAAATAAAATGTATAAAATAAAGTGATAAAAAAAATAATAAAATTAAATAAACATTGACAACACAAAGATGTTCAATGTATTGGAACTGGTCCATTGAAATGAGCGGTCTAAAAGTAAAATAGAATAACTAAAATTATAATTAGATAAAATTGTCCAGATTAACTAATTGACTAGTTAGTCAACCATACTAGTTGACTAGTTATTTGACCATAATGACACTGAAGCTCCTATGATTTGTCTCCTGATAGAGTTGGGGACTGTAGTCAACTAGCACCAGCTACTAGTACAGTGATTTGGCGACCTGCAGCTATTTAATCACACCTTCAGAGTCCATTAAAGACATTCTTTAAAAGACTCTGGGATAAACTGGCTCAAAATCCAGTCTCATCTGCATTAAAGTGTGTGTGTGTGTCCTAGACCAGTGGTTCCCAACCCTAGTCCTGGAGGCACCCCAACACTGCACATTTTGCATGTCTCCTTTCTTTGACACGCCAATTTCAGGTCTTGAAGTCTCTACTAATGAGCTGATGGTCTGAATCAGGTGTGTTTGATTAAGGAGACATGCAAAACATGCAGTGTTGGAGTGCCTCAAGGACCAGGGTTGGGAACCACTGTCCTAGACAAAACCCCTGCAACCCAAACAAAAAACTCTTAATCTTTTTACACTCTCACTGTCCTACAGGCACCATCTCAGATAATGAAACCTGAACTCTTGCTATTAAGAAAACCCTCTGCAGCGTGTTATGTTTAAAGTTCATTCTTAAGGGAAACCGATTGTCTTAGAGTGTGATGATGATGGTATTAGCATGGTGTCTAGTTCCATGGGCATCTGAGAGATCAAATCTCAAGCCCAATAGCCGGGGAGGAGTTTAGCCATCAAGAGTACACCGCTGCCAGCGTGAGTGAGTAATCACAATGCCGATAGACTGTGCGCGCATGAGTTTGCTTATGCTGGATGAAGGTCAAATCCATCAATCAATCCTTTGTGGGTGTTTGCTTGTGCTTGTGGGTTCGGCAAATCAGTGTCAGTCACAACACAGCCGGCTTTAGACAGGCAAAAAGAATAAAAGCTCTCAAACAGCCTTTCCATTCCAATGCTTCAACGGCAAAAACTAAAAAAGGAACCTGCTTTGTTATTCCTGTTATGCCCTGTCATTTATAATCTTGAAATATTATAAATATTAAAAATATTATATTATAAATATAAAAAAAATGTCAATCATATTAATAATAATGATAATAACTATAAATTATATATAATATGCTAAAATAGCAAATGTATATATATATATATATATATATATATATAAAATATGATATTTTTATTGCTATAATTTTTTTTAACTTGGAAACTGTATTTGTTAGATTTAAAAAAATAAAATAAAATTGCAATTTATTAAGAAATATTACAGGTATTTAATCATTTTTATCATGAACATTTTTTCAAACAAAAAAGGTTTTGTTGGGAATATCATTTTATTTTGTAAACCTGTAGGTGTTTTTTTGTTTGCAATATCACTTCCAATCCAGAATCTTTCGTAACATTCTTCTAAATAACAAAAATAACATCATCCAGAAAGTGGCAACATTTTTGTTGAGCCAATCACAGCATAACATCAGTGAATATTAGTAATGGATTTGAGGAATTCTGTAATATTTTATGATATTAGCTGATCTGCCTCACTTGATAAAACTGCAGAAATTAATATTATCAAAATTTCAAAAGCTAGTTAACAAAA